CTATTAAAAATAACAACCCCTCAAGATTATGTGAATAAGTACTAAAAAGTGTTGGGAATGACAATAAGATGATTCCTCACCAGATTAATAAACACAGAAATAAAGCAGTCGTGGTATTTAAAGATTCAGAAAAAAGAGGATTCAAGTGAAAAACAAAAAATGTAAGTTTTTTTTTTTAAAGTAATGGTACAACTCATGTTGACAATGCCCATGAAGAATAGCAAAAGAAGGCTTCAAAATCAATTAAGCAGAGATTATTGAATTTGAAAAGAGTAATAAACACTTTTTTTTGGTAGAAAACATGGCCATGTCTCTAGTAAATTTTGATGAGCCAAAATAAATACATACATACATATGTACATATATACAAATATATACATAAAATACATAGCTATGCTAATGAAGTTTAGGTACATATTAAAACGAAAATATGCACAATTTTTTTCAACCATTTGTGGAAGATTAATTTTGAAACCAAAACTAATCTTAAATTAAGGTACAAAGTAAATATCAATAAAATCTTAAAAGTACAAAGTGTAAACGCTAGATTCTTTACCACAATGCAATAAAACTAGAAATTATGTTCACAAGCTTAGATAAAAGTAATGGGAATTACTTTGAAATTAAAAAAAAAAAAAAAACCAACAGAAATGTTGGATACAAATCTGTAAGTATGGAATAATTGTAAAGTAAAAAAAATGAGAACATTAATTATCAAAATTTGTGGAATTTGGCCAAAGCTGCACTCAGAAAGAAATATTTTGTGTTAAATGGTTTTATTATTTTTTCGGAAAAGAGATAAAAATAAATCACTGATGACAACTTAAGAAGTTGGGAAAAACAACAAAGATATACCTAAAAAAAGACAAAAAGGAGGTGATAAAAAGAATAGAAAAACAAAATCAGAATCAATGAAAGTGGCAAGTTCCTTAAAACCAAATCTTACGTAACTAAAACATAACAAAAGATACAATACAAATTTTATTTTATTTATTTACTTTTTAAGATTTTATTTTAGGTTCAGGTTATGTGTGCAGGTTTGTTATACAGGTAAACTGTGTGCCACAGGTGTTTGGAGTGCAGATTATTTCATCATCCAAGTAATAAACATAGTACCCAATAAGTAGTTGTTTGATCCTCTCCCTCTAGTCTTCCATCCTCAAGTACACAATGCTTAGCTCCCACTTATAAGTGAGAACATGCAGTAGTTGGTTTTCTGTTTCTGCATTAATTTGCTTAGAATAATAGCCTCCAGTTCCATCCATGTTCCTGCAAAGCAAACAATCTCATGTTTTTTGTGTGTGGCTGCATAGTATTCCATGGTATATATGTACCACATTTTCTTTATCTTGTCTATGGTTGATGGGCATGTCTTTGCTATAGTGAATAGTGCTGAAATAAACATACACAGGCATGTGTCTTTATAGAAAAATAATTTGTATTCCTTCAGGTATATATGCACTAATGAGATTGCTTGGTTGAATGGTACTTCTGTTTTAAGTTCTTTGAGAAATTGTTACACTGATTTCCACAATGGCTGGACTAATTTACTTTCCCACCAGCAGTGTATAAGTGTTCTCTTTTCTCCACATCCTTACCAGCATCTGTTATTTTTTGACTTTGTCGTAATAGCCATTCTGACTGCTGTGAGATGGTATCTCATTATGGTTTTGATTTGCATGTCTCTAACAGTTTGGGATGTTGAGCATTTTTTAATATGATTGTTGGCTCATGTATGTTTTCTTTTTCAAAGTTTTTGTTCATGTTTTTTGCTTACTTTTTAATGGAGTTTTTTACTTGTTAATTTAAATTCCTTATAGATTTCGGGTATTAGACCTTTGTTGGATGCACAGGTTGCAAATACTTTCTCCCATTCCGTGGGTTATCTTTTTACTCTGTTGATAATCGTTTTTGCTATGCAGAAGCTCTTTAGCTTAATCAGGTTCCCTTTGCCAATTTTTGTTTTAATTGCAATTGCTTTTGGCACCTTCATCATGAAATCTTTCCCGAAGCCTATGTCCAGAATGGTATTTCCTACAGATACAATAGGGATTAGAAATTTGATATTATAAAAAGTACAGAGGGAGCATGTTATAAATATGTTTTATACAATTCTATAAAATATATTAAAATTTCAAAGAAGTAGATTATTTTTGAGAAAATTTACTATTCAAGTTGAGCCAATTTGGCTCAAGAAATAGAAAACGTAAATTTCTAACAAATAAAAATACTTTTTTTCTCAAAAGCTTTTAATCCATATGGCTTTACTTTTGAGGGTTATGTCAAACCTAAAAATATAGATAACACAAATTCTGCATGCTTTTCTATAATATGGAAGAAGCCAATTTAATGTTGATATATAAATCTGTTAATTATAGCATTAAGAAAACTATATGTGAAGAGACAAGCCACAGACTGGGGAAAAAAAATTTGTAAAACACATTTGATAAAGGACTCAGATCCAAAATATGCAAAGAAACTCTTAAAATTTAACAATAACAAACAACCCAATTAAAAAGTGGGCAAAGTACATGAACAGCTACCTCACCTAGAAAGACATAGAGATGACAAATAAGTACATGAAAACATGCTCAACACCATATGTCTTCAGGAAATCACAAATAAAACAATAAGACACTACTACACAACTATTAGAATTGCTAAAATTAAAAAAACACTGACATTACTAAGTGCTGACTAGAATGTAGGGCAACAGGAACTCTTATTCATCAGTGGTGGGAATGCCAAATAGTATAGTTACTTTGTGAGACAATTTGTCAGTTTCTTACAAAGCTAACCCATATGATCCAGCAATCATGCTTCTAGATATTTACCCAAATGAGTTGAAAATTTATGCTTATAAAAACCCCGGACACAAATGTTTGTGGCAGTTTTATTGATAATTTTCAAAACCTGGAAACAACCAAGATTTTCTTCTATAGGTGAATGAATAAACAGACTGTCATACATCTGTACAAGGTAATATGATTCAGTGATTGAAAAAGAAATGAGCTATCAGAGCCATGAAAATTTATGGAGAAAATTTAAATGCATATTGCTAAGTGAAAGATGCCATATATGATTCCAACTGTATGACATTCTAGAAAAGGCAAAACTATAAAGATAGTAAAAACAGTAGAGTTTCCTAGAGGTTTAAAGGGTAAGGAGGAAAGAATGAGTACGTGGAGCAAACATGATTTTCAGGTCGGTGAAACTGTTTTGTATGATACTGAAATGGTGGGTACAAAAGAGCATGTATTTGTTAAAACCTACAGAACTGGGCCAGGTGTGATGGCACATGCCTGTAGTCCTAGCTACTTGGGAGACTGAGGCAGAGGATTGCTTGAGCTCAGGAGTTCAAGGTTACAATGAGCTATGATTGTGCCATTGCACTCCTGCCGGGAAAACAGAGTTAACCCTGTCTCTGAAAAAAAGATTAAAAAGAAGAAAAAAAACACCTATAAAACTGAACAACGCAAAGAGTGATCCCTAATGTAAACTATGGACTTTAGTTAACATTTTTCAATACTGGTTCATCAGTTATAACAAATATATCACACTCTTGCAATAGGGGAATTTGTGTGAATATGTAAGGGAGAAAAGGTATATGGAAGCTATCTGTTCTTTGTACTCAATTATTTTGTAAACCTAAAATTGATATAAAAATATAAAGTCTGTGAATGTTTTTAAAAAATCACATAAAATTCAATGTTCAATGTCCATAAATCAAGTGTTACTGGCCAGAAGGGAAAGAAAAAACTACATACATGGTAAGTGCTCCTATAGGTAGAGTTCAAAATTTCCAAATAACATACAAGCAAACCAATTTGAAAAATTTATTGAATAAATCATTCAAGATGCATTTTAACTGAAATGCATCTTAAAATTTATATACAAAGCCTATCATATAACTTAATTTTATTTATAAACATAGTTTTAATTGATTAACAAAATTGGATTTGGAAGAAAACATTGACACTCATTCCTGGTGAAATATCAAAAAAAACCTGAAAACAACTTAGGAAAGAGGTATCCCTCCCAGTAAAAATTCTAACATTAAATTGAGTCAACATCTACTTACTAAATTTTAGCAAAGTTTGTTTCAAAGTACAAGTTTCAAGAGATTTTATAGCAGCTATTTCTGGTGATATCTTTTCAACTCATGAAAATTTCCCCCTCTGGAAACAGCCCTTGACACACAGGGATGAACCTCTAGGTATTATATCTAACCATCTGACCCTGACCACTGCTGATTTATTCAAGAAGGAAAACCTGACACTAGTGTGGTCAATCAGGTTTCCACTCCTGGAAATTCAAAATGTGGGATTTACATAAAGAGACTTCGGAGAAGTTGGAGCTCAGCTCTATTACTGCCAGTGCTTGACAGACAGAAAGGCTTCCTCAATTCCTTTGTATTCTTTCTTTCTCACGTCTTAAATCTGGATTCCAGTACTTATCTCTGTTTCAGTGTGTGAGGATTTTTTTCTTTTCTTTAGTTTTTGTCTTTTTGGGGCTTGCAAGCAAACAAACAAAATCTCAAAAAATGCCAACTGAGTCAAATGTTCCTTCTCTGGAATTCTGGACTTGGGAAAACATGGTGGAAGGGGAAGGACAAGAGGAAGGGATAGTGGCAGGGAGATAGGGAAAGAGAGAGAAAAAGAGCATGAGACTCTAGAATTGTTTAGAACATATTTTCTGTGACAACAGAAGCTCTAGAGAAACACAGAGGCTGCTTTCCAGAAAGAGGAAATGATGCATAGAAGAGAACTCAATACTAGTGAGATACACAAGGAGTTCTGAGAATGTTCAAGTCTTGATTGTGATTATTACTGAAATATAAACATATTCCTTTCATAGTCTCTTCAGCTGGGGGAGTCTATAAATATATTAAAGAAACAGCAAGGAGCAATCATAGATGCTTTGAATATGAAGGGACCTTTAGGAGCCATAGTCTGGAGAGATAAGCTAATGTGCCCAAATACCAACTCAGCTTAACAAATAGTCTGGTTCTTAATGTGCTTTACTCTTTACTGCATTGTTCCACTCCTATGTTTCATTTCCCTTCAGTTGGCTAGTTCCTTCTTCAGTCCTGCCCTTTGGCTCACTGTTCTTTGTGGAGATTATCATGTACATTTCACATGTCCCCTTTCCTTGGTTTTGCATTCAACCATTAGCTTCAAGTTAAAATTACTTTCTTAGTGTACCTGAACTCATTCATATCAGTTCCCTAATTGCTCTCTCTTCTTTACTGGGTGGAAATCTTCTCAATAAGTTTTCACAAAGGACTTTCCAAGTTCCAATAGCTGCATTAGTGTGACTTTAGAACTGTGACAACAGGTCAAGGTAAGACTTGAGAGATATTCTCAATACAATCAGATGCCATTGAATCTTGCATAGCGGTTGTATCCTGGCCAATAGAAAGAATATGAAAACAATTTAGAAATAGAATGACACCATGCATAGACTCATTGATGATTGGTCAACCTCAGTTGGTGATAAAAACTCAAATCAGATTATGAGTATTAGATAATAAGAAATTTGAATTCAGGGCACGTAGACAACAAGACAGCCTTAATTTGAAAGGCATGATGCTGGAATCCTCAGAGGTCTAGACTTGGCTTAGAATTGGCCATGAGTGTCTAATCACTGGGAAATGTCCTAGATGCTTGGAATCTATGTGTCATGCTATGGTCTGAATTGTCTGTCCAAAATTCATATGTTGAAAACTATATGCTCGTCTGTTAGACATATGAGTTCTAAAGAGATAATTAAGTTCAAATGAGGTTAGCATAGTGGACCTTAATCTAGTCTGGCTGGTGTTCTTATAAGAAAAGCAAATTTAGATACACAGAAAGATACTGGGGATGTGCACAGAGAGGGAAGAGCATGTGAGGACATCCAGAGAAGATTGCCATCGGTGAGCCAAGAAGACAGGCCTTGGAAGAAACCAGACCTACTGACACTTGATCTTGGAAATCCAAAATCCAGAACTGTGAGAAAAGACATGTCTGTGTTTAAGCCACCCAGTCTGTGGGATTTTATTAGAGCAGTCCTTGCAAACAAATACATCTCAAAACCCAACTTAAATTTCCAATTAGTATCTACTGTCAGTAAATGCAGTTCAGAGGCTAATATAAAAACTACTTGTGATAATATAATTGACTTTTTAGTACTTTAAAACTTAGCATCAAATATAGGAATAAATTGTAAATATGTTTGGTATTTTAAAAATTTTAAACACCTACATTTAAAAATAAGTAGTTATGTTTTAGAGAAGTTGGCATATTAGAATACAGAATATCTAACAGATAAGTCTTTTTATTCCAATTTAAAGTGTGATAATTGAATAATTGACTCAGACATGATTTTAAGCTTAAATTTTATGCATTTATAAGCCATACTGGAATATTTTAAGCAAACTTAAGAGTCATTATATTTATTCTATTAGGTTTAAAATAGTCATTTAAATGCATGGGAAAGCTTATTTTTAGCTAAAAATTTAAAATCCTTAGAAAATTAAATATAATAAAGTTTATAATTAAAATTTAAAATGTTCAAAGGAATTTAAACTATAGAAGGACCCATAAAAGTGTTAAAATTTGGTCAAACCTATAGATAGAATAATAAAATTTATACATTACAAAGTATATGAAACTATGGTTTTTAATTTATAAATTTAATAAGTCAAATATTTTATTACAACAGGAAAGTTGTAAGTACACCAGCAAAAGCTTTTTCCCCTGAATTATTTATAAACAATCTACTAACATGATCCTTCCTTGGACTCTAATGTAATTTCCTACATTTAAGAACATTCTACTACATAACCACAATATAATCAAAAATGGGAATTAATCTAACCACAATATAATCATCAAAATTGGGAAATAAATATTCTTATATTACTACCACTTAATCTTTAGAACCTTAAATTTTCACCAGTTGGAAAAAATAAATTTTCACCAGTTTCCCCCAAATTCCCTTTATAGAATAAGGATCCACTTCAGAATCATGTGTTGTATTTCCTTGTGATGTCTTTCTTTCTATTCTTCTCCAGCCTGGGACAGTTTCTCTTTTTACCTTCACTGTCATGATCTTGACACTTATAAAGATTACAGGCCAGTTATTTTGAATAACATCCTTGGATCTGGGTTTGTCTGAGTTTTCTTTTGATTAGATTCAGGTTATGCAACTTTGGAAGTACTATTACAAAGGGGATGCTATGTTCCTCTGTTGCATCAGATAAGCCTTGCTCTTCCAATTTCAAATGTCGTATTTGACTAATTGATTGACACATGAATCTTATTTGCTACAGCATAAATTCATTTTGCTTCATTACTGACAATATTCTCTGATAATTTGCTGAAAGTGGTATCTACCATTGTTTTCTCTGTAATTAATAAATATTTTATAAATACTATGTAAATATCCTCTTTATTATATGATTTACAATTTATTCATGTCTGTAGATGAACATGGACTCATTGTTTCTTATTTTATCTCTGTAATTATCAATTTTCTGATGTCCCGATTGTCCAAGATTTGGCCAGAGGATACCCTTCAAACTTAGTTCTGTGATCCTTTTGATAAATCCCATTTGTTTTTGAGAACTTTTTAACTTTCTGGCACAAAAAGATATTCTAGACTCTTGCATTTTTCCTGCTTCAGCCCCCAAATTAGTTGTTTTCCCAAGGATCCCCATCCCTGTTTTTTTGGTGGAAAATAGTGTTGAGAATCTAAGGTCTGGGCACTAGGTATGCTCATTGACATTGGTGGGTGCCTGCTCCTGGACTCTTCCAGTGAACAGAGTGAGGGACTCTATATCTGTTGTATACATTGAAAGTGATGTGATCACCCTGATATGCCCAATTCCAATTTAACACCACTCCACTTACCCCGCTTGGGATCTGGCATATCGTGCCAAGCCATCAGCTTCCCCATGAATATACCCTTGCATTTGAAATGTGACTTTCTGCTTTGGGCTCCCCCAACCCCACACCTAAGCAGATTTCCACTGGGCTTATCCTCACCTAATTGCTTCAGTACAAGGTTGTTTAAAAGGAAGCAAATTGAATGGGAAAAAGAAGAGAAATAACCAAATATTATTTTTTAATAAAAAGTGGCCTTCAAATAATATCTTTTCTGCCCAAAAGCCACCTGCAGGGCACAGTAGGAAAAAAATGCTTATTTCTACCATAACGTCTTGATTTTTCTAAAATCTAGTTTCCTTTAGGTTTCATTTCCTGAGCTTCATTGTTACAGGATTCATGTTATCTAGGCATACATGCATATTAAACACTTTCATTCATTTTATAAATCATCTCGTGGGATATTGAAGATTTTACTTACTTGTTTAGTACTATTGAAAAAACCTTGTATTTATATTTGTTTGTACTTGACTGCCAATTTAGGACCCCTTAACAGTCAATTTTCAATGATTTTAGCAGCTAGCATTGCCATATGGCAAAAGCTGGTCCATTCAATTTAGCAATAGTAGGATCTGGAACAATTTTCTTGTTTTGAAAATCTGAGCTACATAATATGTCACCAATTATAGTATCTTTGAAGTAGCACCAAAATTCTCTCCTATGAACTGTTGCAATCAGCTTAGAGGCTATCTGTATAATAATACGACAGTCAATATTACAGTTTTCTTTCTAATTTCTTTATTAACTTTATTGTACTAATTTGCCTTCCAGCTACAGGGCTGATTTATTAATCTAATTTGCTCTGTCTATGGAATTTATTTAAAGTTAGCAAAGTATTAGGAAACTTGTTGGTGCTTAAATCTTCCTTCTGGAAATGTGGTCAAAAATGACGGCTTGTATGTAGAGTTCTGTTGGAATAGGGATTCTAGTAGAGTTGTCACCTGGCTGCGCCTGAAGTACATAAATTACATTGTTAGTCAAGTCTATGCAAATAATTGGCCTTACTTTTTCTTTTTAATTTCTTCTTATTATTATTTTTTGCTTTATATTATAGAAAACAAAACTAGCAAGGCTATTTCCATGGAGACAGATACATGTCCCCCACCGCCCACTGCCCCAGTCTTTTCTTATAATTCCAATTAGGTGATAATTCCAATTAGGAGCTTTGAGGCCCTGGTTTGTGATATTACTGAAAATGTCCAGGATCAAAGCAGTGTCACAGGCTCATGCTTGTCTAGACTCTACTGAACTCCATGAGTCACTTACTGCAGAAGGGATTTACAAACATATGTGACTTCAGGGTAATAATACAAAAAGAATCCTATCTTGATTTCAAGTTTGTCATATAATATATCTGAAGTTTGGGATTGGTTCAGACCAGTGGATGTACCTGTCCATGGTGAGTTTCACATAAAGCATCTTTCTCATCACTTCAAAAGCTATTTGATCTGCTTTTATTTTTTTCCTTCAAATTATAAGGGTTTAAAAGGATTTCATCATTTAAAAAAAATTCAGGATAGCTTATCATGCTAATAGGCTTCTAGAAAGCCTCTATGGAAACAAGAATTTGTTAATATGATATTGATAAGGAGAGAAGAAAGAAGTTTGCGTGAGGCTGATGCTTCAACAGATGAGAAAAAAATGATTCCAAAAGAGTTGCACAATATGTACAATTAGAAAATTTTAGTTACTAGGCCTTTTGTATATTTGATGTAAAAATGATATTATTTGCTCTTTTAAGAAGACATGATTATAAATTTAGAATTGAGGATAAAAAGAAGCCTTGGTATTGCCTTTTCCACATGGTACTTAATTTATTGTGCTAAACAAAAAGTGAATGTCCTGACTGTGCCTCCATCTAAGTTAGTTTTGCTTTTTATTGTTTTTTTTTTTGCTATTTTATAACTCTTTAAGTTGTATAAAATTGATAATAATGCAAAATATCTTGCCCACAAAGATGCAAAATAATTGTGCCAGGTGAAATTCAATTAATCATTGTCCTGTATAGAGACCTGTTTTGTATCTATTTTATTTCAATTTTCCTTATTCCCTATGCAGATATGTTCTGCTCTTTCAATTCTCCTTTGAACTGGCTATAATATCTAACTGTTTTCTTCTATAATTAATGAATTAAATGAAATCATTTGAACATTTGTTATATCTGCATGAGAATTATGATTACAACCGTTTAAAAAATTATCTTGTAAATATTTGGAGATTCTACTGCCAATAGTCAGTGGATTCCTCTGATAGATGAATAACCTGCATGATGGAGGAGTGTTGTACCCCTGGGGGGCTTAAACCCAGACTCCCAAAGGTAAATCCCTAGTAGCACTAGAAATTTAACTCTGTGGATCTTCTGTATCTATATTTTCCTTTTGGGCTATTTTTGTGTATTGTTTTTGTCTTTGGAAATTTTAACGTTGACAAATTATTTCCTGCTGGTGACAGCAATGATTCAGAATGTTGTGGGCTAGCCATTGTGATCTCTGTAAAAGGATTAATGGATTATAGAGATTTATTCTCCTTGTGTGATAGACAATAATCTTTTTCAAGCATTTTATTTCTATTGTTTTTTACTTGTCTGTTTTGAGCTCAAATTTCGACTCTTGTGCCCATCAGGAAACAGTAAAACTCTTTGATATATGAACTGGTGATTTTTTTTGTGTGTTTACTTCTGATATATGGCTAATACTTAGATCTGAAGTTATAAGCAGTGTTGTGTCTGTGTGTCTAGATGCTTATACTTTAGAAAAACCTTTATCTCTTTTTGGATGAATGCATAATATTTTCCTCTCTCTGGAGGGTAATGAATTAGATTAAAATATCTCATAAATTAAAGAAACTCTGTTCTGATTGGCTTATAGAGTTCTTATAGAAATATGTTCTTATATAAATCAAATATTCATAAAATTCCAAAAAATTAGGAAATTAAAAGTTAAATTGTGCTATACTTAATGACTCATTTTTTAAAATATATTTTTTATTGTACTTTAGGTTCTGGGGTACATGTGCAGATCACGCAGGATTGTTGCATAGGTACATAAATGGCAATGTGGTTT